AATACTTTTCGGTCTCATAAGTAGCAGTGGCCTATATCTCTGGGGGTCCACGTTACGACAACCAAAAAATGGCGTCGGGGGTCTGGGCACCCTGCGAAGTCCATCCGCGGACTGCCCTTCCTTGAGACCTGGGCGTTGCAACTTTTTCACGCTGGGCGTCTTCGCCTGGCTTCGGGTCCCAGGACCATCATAGATCGATTCAGCTCGAGAAATGCCGGAAAAAAGGTTGGGTCTGGGGCTCCTGCCGTCTTTCGGGTGATGTTTGAGTTTTTGTTCCGCAACTTCGGATCCCAGGGCTTTTCGGTTCTGCGGCCGCAGTTTTTGCGGCCCGCGCCCGCTGGGTCTGGACCCGGGTCGTTCTCACTAAAGAGTTTAGGGGCAACGCAAGGGGGGGGCGTAGGTTCAGGGGGGGAACGCATCGAGCCCCAATCGCCCATTATCAGTATCGGTTTTCACCGATCCCCATCCCCATCCCCATCCCCTTCGAGACCCCCCAACAATTACCACCCCAGTTGGGGATACACCCCTCGAAGCCCGAAGAGAACGACCTATATACCCGAAGAGAACGACCTATATCCCCACCTGGGGGGTAAATCGGCCAGTGGGGCCCAGGCCACGCCGCTGGGGATGGGGATCGGTTAAACGATGCTCACACTCATCGCCGATAGGGGCCCGACAGCCCTCCCCGCCTGGAAGCGTGCGGATTCGCTATCGGAGGCTATCGCCGATGGATCCGCGATGATGTATCCCCGTGTCCAGGTCGATGCTCCCCCCCTGAGCTGGTCTCCCCTTGTACGGTGAGGGCATTGGGTAAGGAAGCATTGGATAAGGAATCTAGAGACTGGAAGCCGATGGAGCTCCAATTGAGGTTTGGCCATGGACATCACCGCCGCCCTTTTCAGATAAGGAATCCTCCAGGTCTGAAGCCGCTTGGGCTTACAGTCGGGGCGCTGAAGAAGGAACCCTTCTCGTTGGGGAGGGGCTCGGTGTTCCTTGATTATTGTGCAGATTGCCTCAGGTTCCCCGAAGGTTTTCCATGGGGAATCGAAGTTTCAACTTTTGGGGAAAAGGGGGCCTCGATCCTTGTCCAGAGTTCCCCAGGTCAGCGCCCCGACTGTACTCCTCAACGAACGCCCTCACCGTAGCGTTGCCCCTCAACCAGGGGGTGCGCGTGTCCGCCCCGCGAGGCGAGGGCCCTGCGGCTCTCGGCTCGGCCCTCGTGCCGCGGCGGAGGTCGTGGTCGGAGTTCTTCCTGGAGGGCCGGGAAGGAAAGCACTCCGCAGCCAGTCGGGTCAATGAGGACTTCCTCCTCCTCCTCCTCCTCCTTCTCCTCCTCCTCCTCCACAATTACGCCTCCTCCTCCTCGATCACTCAATATGAATACTACTCTCCTCTTTCTCCTGATGACAGGTTGGGAGTGTTCGCCCCCCCCGCGTACTGTTTTTTACACACAGGATTCCCCAGAGTTGGGTTTTCGCTTGCATTTTTTTCAAAATGCTGCTATCGCTGAGGCGCCGGCCTCATTTTCGGGCCCCGCTCGTTCCGAATCGTGCTCTCGCTGCAGGCGCTGGCCTCATTTCCGTGCTTCCGCTCGTTCCGAATCGTGCTCCCGCTGCAGCGCTAGCCTCATTTCCGCGCTTCCGCTCGTTCCGAATCGTGCTCCCGCTGCAGCGCTGGCGTCATTTCCCGTGCCATGCCACGGCATGCAATGCAGTGCTAGGTTGCGTTCCGCTGCGCGATGCCACGCCTTCAGCTGAAGCTGTGATATGCAGTGCTTAAGTGCCACGTCGTGCTATGCCATGCTACGGTTTGATCTTCAACGCCATGCTATGCCATGTTATGTTCGGGGCCGCTGTGGGATGCCATGCTTTGCATTGCAAAGCTTTGTGATGCAATTCTTCACTACGCCACGCCACGCCATGCTGTGACATACTACGCTTTGCGGTACTCTTCTACGCCATGCCATGCTGTGCTCTACAATGCATCGCGTACCCTTTCGGGATCATTGCCGTGCTGGACATCCGACTGTGCGAGTAGAGAGGGGATCTACGCCATGGTAAGGAGTGGGAGGGAGGGGTAGGATGCCAGATATGACGCGAGCGCACCTAGCTTGTCCCCCCCCCCTCCTCCTCCTCCTCCTCCTCCTCCTCCTCCTCCTCCTTCCTGCCTCCTCCTCCTCCTCCTCCTCCTCCTCCTCCTCCTCCTCTCCTCCTCTCCTCCTCCTCCTCTCCTCCTCCTCCTCCTCCTCCTCCTCCTCCTCCTCCTCCTCCTCCTCCTCCTCCTCCTCCTCCTCCTCCTCCTCCTCCTCCATCCTCCTCCTCCTCCTCCTCCGCCTCCTCCTCCTCCTCCTCCTCCTCCTCCTCCCTCCTCCTCCTCCTCCTCCTCCTCCTCCTCCTCCTCCTCCTCCTCCTCCTCCTCCTCCTCCTCCTCCTCCTCCTCCTCCTCCTCCTCCTCCTCCTCCTCCTCCTCCTCCTCCTCCTCCTCCTCCTCCTCCTCCTCTTGCTCCTCCTCCTCCTCCTCCTCCTCCTCCCCCTCCTCGCCCTCCCCTCCTCGGGTCGAGAGGGACCTGGCATTGAGAGAACGCCCACCCTTCGAGGGCCTTGAGACGGGGTTCAATGCAAACGGGGGTCAGCAATAGCGCCGGATCTTGCAGGGTCCTGCAGAGCCAGGGTCGCACTAACCTGGGCTTGGGCGCAGGGTCCTGCAGGATCTGGCAGGATCCTTCGCATTAACCCAGGCTTGGGTGCAGGATTTGGCAGGATCTTGCAGGATTTTGCAAGGCCTGACTGACCCGGGTCTGGATTGACCCGGGTCAGAAGATTCCCGAATACAGAGGGTGCGGTGCGCTCCAGAAAAGAACTCGCCGACCGAAGGAGTTGTCATTCTTCATCGGCGGAAGGGCGGCGGAAGCAAAGCGGGGGCGGCTTCGCCGGCGGAAATGAAAAATGCACCCCCGAGAGCTGGCAACGTTTTTGGGTTCAGGGTTCCCAGAGGCCAAACATGATCCTTCTCTTTTGCCCGCCTCTCCACCACCCCATCCCCAGATCATCTCCGACGACATGGTTTTTTCAATCCAGGCTTTCCTCGATGTCGGCCTCGGGACCCCGTGATCGGGCCCCAGGGCCTTCGAAAATAGGCCGAAAAATGAGGCCTGGGCAAAGGGTCAGGACCTCTGGGGCCGCAGATTGGAATAATTACCTGAGACGTAACCAGCCCATTCTCCACGCGAGGCGGATAGTCCTTTGAATGTTGCATACAAAAGAACACATCGCTAGGTATGCACGATCTGCGCTGCCCTGATCGCCGCCGTGCCTCCCAGGAGCCCACGAAAGTGGCGCGCGTCGTAGTCTCCCAGGGAGTCGCGAGGTCTCAGCTGGATCTGCGTGGCCCGCGACTCCGCTTGACCTCCCAGGAGCTTTCGAAAGTGGCGACAATTGCGCAGTTCGCAGCCTCCCAGGGAGCAGCGAGGTTCCCGTCTGGGGGCGCGTGCCCCGTGCCCCCCGACTCCGCCGGACCTCCCAGGCGCTCACGAGAGTGGCGACAATTGCACAGTTCGCAGCCTCCCAGGGAGCAGCGAGGTCCTGTCTGGGGACAGGAGCCCACGAAGGTGACGCCAATTGCGCAGTCCGCAGCCTCCCAGGGAGCAGCGAGGTTCCCGTCTGGGTCTGCCTGGCCCCCCGACTCCGCTAGACCTCCCAGGAGCCCACGAAAGATGCGACAGCTTCGCAGTTCACAGCCACCCAGGGCGCAGCGAGGTCCCGTCTGATTCCGCGTGGACCCCGACTCCTCTGGACCTCCCAGGAGCCCACGGAAAGGACAGGGGAGGCGGGAGAGTTGGAGACCACAGCACTCGATTCAAAACGAGGATCCAGCACAGGAGGGTTGGGGAAAACAGATCGGCGGATGTCAAGATCCCCTTCCCTCGCCACTCCTCCTTTCCTCCCCTCCTCCCCTCCTCCCTCCCCTCCCCTGCCCCGCCCTCCTCCGCCGGCAAGCGAGGCGTCGGCACGAGCACGACAGTTGCAGAGGTCCCCGCGGGTCTCTGCGAGATCGGCGCTGGGCCCTCCCGGCAGGGGGGGCCCCGGGCCAGCCTGGGAAATCCGCGCCGGTCTCCGGAGGCTCATGCTGACAGCAGGCACGCCGACAGAGAAAGCGGCCCGCCGGCAGGTGCCCCACGAAGGTGCCCCACGTCCCGTGGTCACGGAGGCACGCAGGAGCCCTGAGGCACCATAGGACCCTCAAAAGGTCGGCGAAGAATGTGCCCTGACGGAGGGGGCGACCGCGGGAGCTCCGTTCTCAGTCCGTCGGGGGGCGGGCCTTTGTGGCCGTGAGAAGGGGCCACGCTTCTGGAGCGTGACAGCGAGACGTGAGCGAGCAGATTGCGTGCAAAGTAGAGGAGTCATGTTCATTGGCAAGCGAGCTCAAACATTGTGAAGCGGTCTCCTAAGCTGGCCCGTCAATCAAATACCATCGTATGTGCCTGCTGTATGCTCATGCCGAGCTATCCCTCCTCCAGGAGCGGCTGGGAGGGCTGCCGTGCGTGGCGCGGGAGAGGGGCGGCGAGGAGGAGCCCTCGCCGTCCTCCTGGCTGGCGCCGGACCTGTCCCCCCATCGGGAGCAGTTCCACAAGGCCTGCTGGAGGGTGCTGAACACGGTCGGCCAGCGCCACCACCTGAAGACCTTGTTCCCGGGGTCCGTGTGCTACTACGACCCCAGCGTGTACCCCAAGGTGAGCGGCCTCGTCGCCCTCACCATTCAAAGAATAGAGATCGGCGTGAGCATAAACTTTCAGAGGTCCGCGCGGATTTTCTCGGATCGGCGCTGGACCGCTCATCCCTGGGGCGCGGAGCGCGCCAAGGGCGGCGCTGGAGGCGCCGCCAGGGGGGCAGCGCCGGTCCAAGAAAACCCGCGCGCACCTCCACATGTTTGCACTTCTGCCGCTTTTTCTTCTTCTGGCCATAGACGACGCTCCCTGCCGGCAGGGGAGGCCAGACGCGTGCATGGCGCAGCAGGTCCGCGAGGCGCTGGCGGAGTTCGAGGCCAGGGCCACCTTCTTCCTCTGCTCGGACTTCGTGGCGGGTCACGAGGGGGCGCTGGAGGCCCTGCTGCTGGACGGGCACGAGGTGGCCAACCACTGCCGCGCGGACCGCTCCTACGCGGACGACGCGCAGGAGGACTTCGAGTCCGCCCTGCTGGAGGCCGAGGGCGTCTGCGAGTCCCTGCGCGCCCGCGCGCGGCCGCAGCAGGGCGCCGGCGGCGCCGGGGAGGCCGCGGCACCCCGGTGGTTCCGCGCCCCGCACGGCAGCCTGAGCCCAGCGATGCGGCACGTGCTGAACCGCCACGGGTTCACCCACGTCCTGACCGACTGCTACGCCAACGACCCGTGGATTTCGGACCCGGAGTTCATCGCGGAGGTCATGCTCTCGCGCGTCATGGGCGGCTCCGTGGCAGTGATCCACATTGGAGGGGGGAAACGCGGCATCAGCACAGATTCTCGGAGCTCCGCGCAGATTGATTGTTGTGGATCGGCGCTGGACCCCACTCCCTGGCGGCGCCAGAGGCGCCGCCGGGGGGCCCAGCGCCCACCCCAGGAAGTCCGCGCGTAGCTCCGAAAATCTAGTTATGCATGTGCCGTCTGTTCTTCCCTCACGCGTGCCCGAGAGGGGCTTCCGCGAGCACAACCTCCACGCCCTCCGCGGCTTCCTCTCCGGGCTCCGACAGCGCGGCTTCCGGGCCGTCACCCTGAGCGCGCTGCACCGGGCCGCGTCGAGCGCCGTGCGTCCTCCCTCCCCGCGGCGCGGCGGCAGGGCGCCGCCCGCGAGCGCCTGGGTGGAGGCCTCGCTGTCCACGCCGCACATCGAGACCGGCCCGCAGGAGAAGACGGACAACGACGGCAACCAGGGGCAGCAATAGGGGGGGGGATAGGCATAGGGGGGATACATCGACCCCGAATGGCCCATGGACCACCGATAGGGGTCTGATAGCCCCAACCCTCCCAGGGAGGTGCGGAATCACTATCGGGGGCCTATCGCCGATCTATCGGCGATGTATCCCCGATTCTAGATGGATGCATCCCCCCCTATGCCAGTCCCCCCCTATCGTTGCCCCTCAGGCAACCAAAGAAGAAAAGCCTCAGAGAGGGAAAAGGTCGAAACCAATGTTGAGGATGGGTAGCCTTCCCAAGGGTACCCTTGCATCCGTGCCTCTTTGGCCCATGCCTGACTGCTTTCGATGGCCCGCCGCGCTCGAGAAAGCTTCAGCACGGGCGTCCAAGGGGCTGGCACCCTCGTCGCCCATCCTCACTATCAGTTTCGACCGTAGCGGTACCGCCACCCCTGCCTCGTCTTCGCTTCTCGGGGGCCTCCTGGGAGGGCCCCGTCGCCACGGCTGGACTCGCCGCGAAGCGCTGGCCGGACGCACCACGGGAGAGAGGCCCAGGGGGGGGTTAGCGGTACCGAGACCCTCTCGTCCCCCAAAAGGTTGCATACAGTCGGGGCCCTGAAGAAGGAGCCTTTTTCGTTGGGGAGGGGCTCCGTGTTCCTTAAGTGTTTCACAGCTTGCCTCAGGTTTCCCTTATGCTTTCGATACGAAATCGAAGCTTCACTTCTGGAAAATAGGGGCCTCGTTCCCTAACGCCTCGACTGTAAGCACACATCCTTTCGGAGTCCAGCGCCGATCCGCGAGGTCCGCGCGGGGCTCCGAGGGTCTCTGCTGATGCCAGCGCTTTGCCCCCCGCAGGCAACACCTGGAGGGTCTCGTTCCACAAGGCCTGCTGGAGTGCCGTCAGCGCGGTGGGGCACCGCCGCCACCTGGACACGATGTTCCCCGCGACCGTGTGCTACTATCGAGGCGCCAACGGCGAGTCACCGCCTCCCCCTGCGCTTCTGGAGCTGTGGTGAAGCGCCTTTGGGGGCACCGCCACCGCTGGGGGAGCACCGGGTGTGGAGCTCTCTGGGATCATCTTGGGGCTCTGCCTGGGCCACTTGGGCCCACTCGGGGGTATCATGGAGCTCTCTCTGTGCCACCTTTCGGGGCTCTCTTGGACCATCTTGGGGTGCTCTCGGGCCATCTGGCGCAGTCGGCGACCGTCTTGGGGACATACACGGGCCGTCTTGGAGACCTCTTGGAGTTTTCTGGTGCAGTCTTGTGGAACTCTCCTGGGCCGTCTCGAGGCCTCCCTGGGCCGTCTTGGAGTTGTAATGGGGCCGTCTTGGGGCCAGCTTGAGCTGTCACGGTGCCTTCTTGTGGGCCGTCTTGGCCCAGTCTCTCTCTCTCTCTCTCTCGCTCTCTCTCCCTCTCTCTCTCTCTATCTCTTTTGGCCCTCCCTTACATTCTGGAGCCCGTCTCAGGGCATCTCTGGGCCGTCTTGGTGCCCTCGGGGCGCGTGAGGACCGTATCGCAGGTCTATTGGTCCCTACTGGGGCCCCTTGGAGCCCTCCTGGCTCCATCTTGGGAGCCTGCTTGTGGACCCCTGTCTTGGAGACCTGTGGGGCCGCCCTTGGGCTCTCGGCAACGGGGCTGTCAGTCAGAGCGTGAATTACCTACCCCGCTTTCGCTTCCAGGCAAAACCAAGCCAAACCACGCGCCTCCTCGTCAAGCGGCCTGACCAGTACAGGCTGCAATTTGGCATCGTTTGGTATCTCCTGGAAGCGAGGGTGGTCAAAAGCGAGGTGGCGGTGGTGGTCGCCGGTGGGGGCCCACGAGCTGCAGCGGCAGGCTGCCCGAGCCCGAGGCGGGAGGGCGCGGCAGGGGCCCGCGACGCCGCGAGGGGCAGGGGCTGGCCAGCACTGGCAGCAGGACGACGAGCCCGACCGACGAGGAGCACACGGGGGAGGGGGGGGGGGCCCGGCGGGCGGGAGGGGCGGGGGCGGCCCGGGCAGCCCCAGCCCCTCCCTGCCCCAGGGGGGCGCCACGATTCTGACCTGCCCTCCCTCCCTCCCTGCCTCCCAGGCCGCTCTGGGGCCATCGTGGGCCAGCCTGGGGCAATCTTAGAGCCATCTTGGGCTGCACTGGAGGCGTTGATGGGGGCCTTCCTGAAGGCCATCTTGGCAATCCTGGAGGCAGTCTTAGGGCCTCGTGGAGACGAGACGACGCTCCTGGGTTTGAAGGTAGTGGTTTTATTGTTTGCGCTGAATTACGGGTGGCGTGCGGGATGGGCCAGATGCTGTTAGGAAGTTCTTGGAAGGGCAAAACGGCGGTCAACTTCGACACTCCGAGCCCCCTTTTTCAATTCAAAGGTTACGGCGGAGCTAGTGGCCTGCGGCCCAACGGGCCTGAGTTGCGGGCCATGGTGCTAGGGGGGCTCTTGGGCGCTTCTGGAGGGCTCTTGGGGACATGTCGGGATTCTTGGGGCGATATTTGGGGGAACAGCTCCCAATGCCTCTGTGTTTTCCCTTTTGGAGGCTCTTTGGGGGGCGCATAGGCGGGAAACTTTCGATGTTTATTGGGCCGTCTTGGGCCGTTGGGGGACGATCTCAGGGGCCTTCTGTGGAGTCGATGGGGGGTCATGAAGATCAAAGTCGCGATTGCCCCAAACGCTTCAAAAACGCAAATACGATTATTAGTTTGGCCTATTGAGGCCATGTTTGGGGTCGTCTTGGAGCCCTACTTGGGCGTTTGAGGGTCCTCTTGGGCCATCTGAAGGCAGTCGTGGGTCGTCTCGGAGGACTGTAGGGCCGCACAGGGCCTCTTGGACCATCATGGGACAATCTTGGGAGCGTCTTGGCCCATCTTGCAGCGATCTGGCCTCAGGAAAAGTCGCGCCGACAAACCCCAGGAGTCACGACCGAAGAAGTATGGCTCTTGGGCCTTAATATCCGAAGGAACCTGATGACATTGGATGCAGTGCCCAGCGGCACAGTGGCGGATTCCGTCCAGGCGTACCCTGGCGTGCGCGGACGCATCGCCCTGACCATCGACGACGCGCCGTGCCGACAGGAGCGAGCCGATGGGGCCATGATCGAAGAGGTGCAGAGCTTACTGGACGAGTTTGAGGCGAAGGCCACATTCTTCCTCTGCACAGATTTCGTCCCCAGCCACGTGGAGGCCCTCAGGCGGCTTGTATGCGACGGGCACGAGGTCGCCAATCACTGCCGTGCCGACCGGTCGTACGCAGAGGACGAGGAGGCGGACTTCGAGGTCGCGTTCCTGGAAGCCGAGCGCGTGTGCGAGGAAGTGCGGGCGCCCGCACGGCGGGGTGATGGCCGGGAAGCCTCCGCGCCGAGCAACGGCCCAGCGATCCGGTGGTTCCGGGCGCCACAGGTCGGGGGAGGAAAAGAGGGGGGTGATGACTAGGGGGGGGGGATATCATGGCGTGGGCCATGATTTTTCCCCAGATTTCATGGCGCCTCTTCTTATTTCATTGCGTTCCTGGCCCCCCCGCTGGGCCGCGCACATGCCGCTGGTCATGATTTGCACCCCCCCCTCTTGGACACCCCCCTCTTGGCCGCTCCCGAACAGGGAAATCTGAGCAATTCGATGAAGAATGTCGTCAACAGGCACGGGTTCACGCACGTGCTCTGCGACTGCTACGCCAACGACCCGTGGATCTCTGACGCCGAGTTCATCGCCGAGACCATGCTGTCGCTCGCGTCGGACGGCTCGATCGCGGTGATCCACATGCCCGAGCGAGGCTTCCGCGAGTACAACCTCCGCGCGATGAGGGACTTCCTCGGGGGGCTGAGGTCGCGCGGCTTCCAGGTCGTGACGCTGAGTGCCCTGCACCGTGCAGCGTGCTCGCAGCCGCGCACGGCTGTCAGCAGCGCGGCCGCCCTGGCCGCCGTGGCGGAGCCCGCCGCGGGCGGCGCGGAGAGCGAGTCCAGGAACCGCTCTTCGGGTAGCTGCGGCTCGGGCTCTGGCTCCACTTGCGCCTCGGCATCGGCCCCTCCCTCGTCCTCCAGCCCCTCCCCCTCCGCCCCCCCGTCTTCACTCCAGTGAGTTGCCGGTTGCTCGGCACACGTGCGCCATCAGTGTTAGCACAAGCCTAATCTAAGGAAATCTTACTCTGGTGACCGCTGCGGCGAAGCTGTTGCTGGCAAGGAAAGGGACTACCAGCATGATGGGCCTCTCCTGCTCTCGACAGGCGCAATTGAGCTCACGGACTGCGGCGGCAGTGCTCCAGTCTGCTGTCGTTGGCGAGAGGACCGCGCTTGTTGGCATTGACGTGCGTTCTCGGAGGGGCCAGTTGAGACAACGGCGGCTCTCCCGCCAAGCCCGAATCCACTCAAATCGGGCGCCAGATCCTTCCCGGGGTTCATCCCGAGAGCAGCGGGCAGTAGCAGCAAGCACGGTTCTCGCTCGCGGCCACCTGCCTCGCCAGCCTGCTCGTTCCGCCTCCATTCCTGCACATGCCTCCTGGAGGCAGTGCATTGGCTGGCCTTGTCGGAGCTGGCCATCTAGCATTTGCCTCCGCTGCCTGCCCCTTTATCCCTCTCACCGGATTGGCCATTGAAGAGGAACGAGTGAGGGGAGAACGAGGAGGGGGAGGAGGAGGCGGAGGAGGAGGCGGAGGAGGAGGCGGCGGAGGAGGAGGAAGAGGAGGAGGAAGAGGAGGAGGAGGAGGAGGAGGAGGAGGAGACGACGACAATGGACGACGAGGAGGAAGAGGGCACGGAGGACGGGGAGGAGGGGGAGGAGGAGGAGGCGGAGGATGATGCGGACGAGAATGACGATAGAGGAGGATGACGCTGGAGGAGCAAGAGGAGAGCGAGGAGGAGGAGGCACGAATGAAATAGCGGACAGGGGGGAGGAGGAGGAGAGGAGGGAGGAGGAGGAGGAGGAGGAGGAGGAGGAGGAGGAGGAGGAGGAGGAGGAGGACGAGGAGGAGGAGGAGGAGGAGGAGGAGGAGGAGGGAGGAGGAGGAGGAGAGGAGAGGAGGAGGAGGAGGAGGAGGAGGAGGAGGAGAGGAGGAGGAGGAGGGAGGAGGAGGAGGAGGAGGGAGGAGGAGGAGGAGGAGGAGGAGGACGACGACGACGACGACGACGACGCGAAGAATACAGCAAACACGTCGACGACATGGAGGAGGGAAGAGGGAATGGGGAGGGCCGAAGAGGAAAGAGGAGGTGGAGGAGGAGGCGGAGGCGGAGGAGGAGGCGGAGGGAGGCGGCGGAGGAGGAGGAGGAGGAGGAGGAGGAGGAGGAGGAGGAGGAGCGAGAGCATACAGGAGAAGGAAAAGGAGGAGAAGGAGGAGGTGGAGGCGGAGAGAGAAGCAGGAGGATAATGCTGCTGGAGGAGCAAGAGGAGGAAAACCGAGGATGAGGAGGAGGAGGAGGAGGAGGAGGAGGAGGAGGAGGAGGAGGACGGATGAGGGAGAGAGCGGGGAGGGCCGAGGAGCTGGACGGAAGAGGAGGAGGGGCTACGAAATCTCGACGACGACGCCGCCCCGCCGAACGCGGCGACGACGGCGACGAGCCGCCCGATGGGCACCCCGAGGCTCGGGCTGGCTGCGGCCCCGAGCAGGCACGCCAGCGGCGCAGGCCGGCCTCTCGCGACGGGCTGCCGCGCGCGCCGCCCGGTGGCACCCGAGCTGCGGGCGGGGGGGGGGACGGAGGGAGAGGAGGAGGGGAGCAGGGGAGGAGGGGAGGAGGGGAGGGGGAGGAGGGGAGGGGGGGGAGGGGGAGGGAAGGGAGGTAGAGGGAGGGAGCGGGGGGAGGGGAGGAGGCAGGGAGGGAAGGAGGAGGGGAGGGAGGGAGGGAGGGACGGGGGATGACAGAGGAGAGGGGAGGGAGAGGGAGGGAGGGAGGGAGGATCAGACCGACTCGGCTGGCGGGCACGATGGGCACCACAGCGCCGTATGGGCTCCCCGCGGGAGCCAGAAGCGTGGGCTCCCCGCGGGAGCCAGAAGTTGCCCGCCGCCCAACCCGGCGGCCAGGCCCCACCCAACACCTTCCTGGCAGGGGCCCAGCTGGTGTGCGAGCACGTCTGAATGGAGCTGGGCCCCATGCTGTTCAAGAGCCCCCAGCCTGCGGCGCGCGGCACTCCCTCCCCAACGCTCCCCCCCTCCGTTCCGACGGGGCGACGGGAGCGGGGCCAGGGCTTCGAGGAGAGTGCGAGGGCCTCTTCCCTGCTCCAGGTCTCACGGTGACGGGCGCACAGCAGAAGCGAATCGGACAGGACCCTGGGATGCAGAATTGCCCTCCTCCTTCGAGTGGTCTTGGGATGCGACGAGGGATGCGAAGGGGCGGGAGGAGGGAGGAGGGAGGGAAGGGGGGCAGGCCCCCAATGCTGAAGCGTTGTACCTCGAGTGTCGGATCTGATGTTCCCGCAGGCGCGATCCGAGGCAGGCGATGAGACTCGGCGCCTCGCGCCGGCCTCTTGACGCCACCGGCCCCGTCTGCCGCAGCAGTGCGCCCTCCGCCCGCGCGCACGCCCCCGGCCGACGCGGATGCCCCAGGAGGGGGGAGGAGCGCCAAGCGGGGAGGAGGAGGAGGAGGAGGAGGAGGAGGAGAAGGAGGAGGAGGAGGAGGAGGAGGAGGAGGAGGAGGAGAGGACGGGGAGGAGGAGGACGGGGAGGAAAGAGGAGGAGGAGGAGGAGGAGGAGGAGGAAAGGACGAGGAGGAGAGGAGGAGGAGGAGGAGGAGGAGGAGGAGGAGGAGGGAGGAGGAGGAGGAGGACGGGGAGGAGGACGGGGAGGAGGAGTGGGGGCACTGGCCAGGGGTCGGGGGTTGCTCAAGGTGCCCCCAGCCCAAGGTGCCTCCAGCTTTTCGCCTACTTGCGAGGGCCCGGGGGCCCTCTGGGCCTCGTGAGGGGTGCTCTGGAGGCCGTGGGGGCCTCAGTGGAAATCCTGGGGGCGCCTTGGGCCAGGGGCGCTTCTAGCAACACCCGAGATGGGGGGGGGCTGGGGACGCAGCAGCGGGGTGCATCCCAGCCCCCACCCGACGCTCCACCCACCCGAGCGGGGAGGGAAGTCCCGCGGCCAGCGGGACCTCTGGCCCACAGGACCTCTTTCCCCCACTGCCATCCGCTTTCTGCGGCCTGCCCCTGGCCGTCACATGCGGCGGTCGACCGCTGAGGGTTGCCCGAGCATCCTGGTGTGCTCACCGGGCCCCCAGCTTATGCAAAGGGGGGGGCACAAGGAGGAAGAGGAGGAAGAGGAGCAGGAGCAGGAGGAGGAGAGGCGCGACGGGGCTGGGGGAGACGCGAGTCCGTCGTAGCCCCCGGTCGGCGGCCGCCGACGCGGCCGAGCGTCGCCGGCAGGATCAGTCATTTTCAAATCAGGAGATCAGATCGAATCGGAATGTGCGTCGGATCGGCACGCAGTCGACATCGAATCGGATCGGCTGCGCCAGGATGCACAACAGCGCCCTGCAGATGTCGGGCCGCATCGGATCGACAGAAAACCAGTAATCGAATTGGATCGGGCAGCCCGGAATCGATATCGAATCGGATCGGTCGGATCGAAAAGGGCCTTGGCCGCCGGCGGGGCGGCGTGCTCGGCTCCCCTGGGTCGGCACGGCCCGCGGGCTTTGGTCGCCGCAGGCACCTCGGTCATGCCCCTCTTCTGGCTGCTGTTCGGCGAGACACTCGCGGCCGCGCGCACCCCCTGACGCTGTCCTCGTCCTCCTCCTCCTCCTCCTCCTCCTCCTCCTCCTCCTCCTCCTCCTCCTCCTCCTCCTCCTCCTCCTCCTACTACTTGTCCTCCTCGTCATCCTCCTCCACCTCCTCGTCCTTCTCCTCCTCCTCCTCCTCCTCCTCCTCCTCCTCCTCCACCTCCTCATCATCCTTCCCTCCTCATCCTCTTCCTCCTCCTCCACCTCCTCCTCCTCCCTGTTTCGTCCTCCATCCTCTCCTGACTCCTTCCTCCTCTATCTCATCCTGCGTCCTACACACTCCATCATCTCCTTTCTTCATCCTCTGTCCTCCTCCCCCACTCCTCAGCCAGCCGAGTGCGAGCCTTCTTACTTGGAATCGATCATACATCAGCGCGAGGAGGCGAAACAGTGGAACAAAGGTAGCTTTGCGACGTCATATCCCAGGCAACTGAAAGACGGCTGCCACCGCATGCAGTACAGCTGGGCAGCGGCAACTGGCGGTAGCGCTGCTCAGCAATATGCGGGAGGTGAATTTGGAACCCAACTTCATCAGCGGCAGCGCTGGAATCAGCGCTTGCGAGAAAAGCGAACAGTGGCAACGGGCCTTGGCGCTGCTCAGAGATATGTGATAAGCGAAGAGGGACCCCACCGTCATAAGTTACAACGCCGGCATCAGCGCGTGCGAGAAACGCGAGCAGTGGCAGCGGGCCCTGGCGCTGTTCAGCGAGATGAGTGAGGCTCATTGGGAGCCCGATGGCATCAGCGAAAGCGCCAGGACCAGCGCGTGCGAGAAAGGAGAGCAATGGCAGCTGGTCTGGCGCTGCTCCGCGAGATGAGGCGATGGCGGAGCCCAACGACATAAGCTGCAGCGCGGGGATCAGCGCGCGCGAGAAGTTCGAGTATTGGCCTGCGGGGGTGCGGCGCTGCCCCACGACAGGCGTGAGGCCAAGGGGGAGCCCGAGCGCCATTGGCACACGCTGGGCGGCGCGGGGGTCTCCTCTTTGTCCTCTTTGTCCTCCTCATTGAACGCCACTTTGTTGAAGGCGCAGGTGGAACCTCTCATCATCAGCTACACTGCTGCGGCGAACGCTCCACCTGATGCGATCGATATCGCGGGAGAGAAGAGAAGCAGGCCCGCTTGTGTGGAGCAATGCTCGAACCGATGTTACTTAAGCACGCGCGTCCTCCACAGCGGGACGCTCTTGCTCGCCGCTGCCGCTTCGGTTCGAAATGTTTTGACCACCACTCGCCCTCCCTCCATCCCTTCTATGTCTCTTAGCCTCTTCCTGCTCCTCTTCCTCTTCCACCTGGTCCTCATCCTCCTGCCCCTCCCCCTCGTGCTTCCATTATCTGGGGAGGAGGCGGGTGGTCAGAAAGCGAAGGTGGAGGAGGAGGAGGAGGAGGAGGACGACGACGACGACGAGGCAGGTGTTTTGACCACCACTCATCCTCCCTCCATCCCTTCTATGTCTCTTATCCTCCTCCTGCTCCTCTTCCTCTTCCACCTGGTCCTCCTCATCCTCCTGCCCCTCCCCCTCGTGCCTCCATTATGTGGGGAGGAGGCGGGTGGTCAGAAAGCGAAGGTGGAGCAGGAGGAGGCGGAGGACGACGACGACGAGGCAGGGGAGGAGAAGAGAGACGACGACGAAGAGTGCAAATAGGTGGAAGACGACGATGACAAGGCCGAGGATTAAGGACGAGAAAGAGGAGGCGGATTATGATGAGTAGGAGGAGGAGGAGGAGGAGGAGGCGGAGGAGGAGGAGGAGGAGGGGGAGGGAGAGGAGGCGGAAGGGTGAGGACGACGAGAAGGAGGGGAATTGGTACGACCCCCAGAGAGACTTAGAAGGAGGAGGCGCAGGCGGAGGCAGAAGCAGAGGGCGGGTGAGAGCAGCGAGGCCGTCTTCGGCATCTTGGTGACGACCCCTTTCTTCGGGTTCCACGTGTACTTGATGCTCAAGGCCGCTCCTCGACGCAGGGACCGTCGCCTCGCATCCCGCTGGTGTCGCGTCATCCTCCTGCTCCTCGTCGTGCTCCACCTCCTCGTCCCTCCCTCTCCGTCCGCCTCCCCTGCGACGGCGGCAGGGAGGGGCAGTCCGTACGTTCGCATGCCGAGGGTCCTGTCCTGCCAACCAGCGGCGGCGGCCCGCCCATCACCGGGGACTCCCGAGGCCAGTGGCCCGTGCAACCACGTCGAGGACGAGGTCCAAGGGCCGAGAGGCGCCTCCGCGGCCCCGCGGCTGACAGCAAGGCTGAGCCGCAGGGCGACGCGGCCACGGCCCTGTGCCCCCGACGAGGGCGCCGAGACAGGCCGCGCAAAGGCCAGGATCCGAGTCGTGGCCCCCAAGGGGCAGGCGCCTCACATCGGAGAAGAAGCGACGGCACACACAAACTGCCGAAACTCCGCGAGGACCTCTTGGATCGGCGCCGGGCGCCCCCGGGCGGCGCCTCTGGCGCCGCCCTTACGCAGGTCCAGCGCCGATCCAAGAAATCTGCGCGGAACTCAGAGAAATCATGTGAGTTTCTGTCCGGAGCTCGATCGAGCTGCATCTTTTCACATGCCTGTGGAGTCGCTGAGAGACTTGCGGGCTGCGAGGCAGCCCCCCTTTGCATGCTGGAAAAGTGCGAGGCCAGGCATATCGCCATTCCTCTGCTTGTGAAGCGTCTTGGCGGGGTCTCGAGAAAGTATGTGTATGTCGTGTGCGCTCCTCTGGCGAAAGCTAAGATCCGAGGCGCGGCCCCTGGAAGGGCAGGCGCCTTTCGGCTCCCGAGGGCACCCACCTGCACACCTGGCTTCAACGAGAGAGCAGCGGGGCGTCGGGGGCGTCCAAGGGGGGGGGGACTGCAAGGTGCGGATGAGATCTCCAGGACTTCACGACACGGCAAACCTTCGCGGACCTCCGGAAGTTTACAGCTTTGTTCTGTTGGTCTTCTGGCCTCTAGCAGCGTCTGTTTGGGCGGCTGCCATCCTGACGACGAGGTCCGGCTTGAAGGCACTTCACACCTTGATGCCCTCAACTCACATCGTCTGCAGTGCCTGTTGTTCTGGGCACCCAGCTCCAACGGCTGGGGGCCATGGGGCCCGTCGCTCAGCTCGGCGTGCCCTCTGCCCGCAAGCGAGCGACATCCTACAACGAAGCGCGCGCCGCGGCGCCAGGAAGCCCCGACCCCCCCCCTCCTACGTTCAGCACGCTCTGCTTGCCACCCCTCGTCTGTGCACGCGCCTAGGGCCACGATGCGCCTAGGGCCACGCCGAGGGCCACGATGCACGTGGTCACTGCCCCCATGAGGAGGAGGAGAAGGAGGAGGAGGAGGAGGAGGAGGAGGAGGAGGAGGGCAAGGAGGAGGAGGAGGAGGAGAAGGAGGAGGCCTCTCCCCGTCTGCCCCCGTCTGCCCCGCTGCTCCCCTCGCGAGTGCCCCCCTCGCGAGCGGTGCTGTCGAGCCCTTCTCGGCGGACCCCGCACCTCCACGCCGCGTGGTCTGGGCCGGCACGCGCGCGCCTCGCCCTCGCGCGCCCTGCGCTGCGCCGTGCCGCTGCGCGCGTGGCCGCGGCGCAGCGCGTGGCCGCCCAGGGGCGCCTCCCAGGGCCGCCTGGGGGGGGGGGCCTCCTGGGGCCGCCTGGGGAGGCCTCCTGGGGCCGCAGGCCTGCTGTGGCTGTCCTGGGAGGCCGGACGAGGAGCCGCAGGGCGGCGAAGCCCCCGCGACTGCAGTGCGAGAGACGGAAAGAGAAGGAGAGAGAGAGAGAGAGAGAGAGAGTGCGCGGTCGCCTTCTGTCCCCCTCCGCCCCCCCTTGCGCGGCGCGCGGCCACCCCTTCGTGACGACCACGGCGGTCGCCGGGAGCGCGCCCGTGCCCCGCCGCCGCCGTTGCCTATCCGCCGCCGCTGTCCCTTCGGCGGGCGACGCCTGGCGGCCGCGAGAGTGTCTGCGCGGAGGGCCTTTGCGTGATTCGGGGAGAAACCGTCGATGAGTCGGCGTTCGGAGCAAGGGGGCGCGAGCAGAGAGCGCTGCGGCAGGAGTGCCGCGCGTCTTCTCGGTTGCGCTGCGCTCGGCGAGGGGCCGAGCGGGTGTGGCGGGCGGAGGAGGCGGCGGAGCGGAAGGCACATCGCAGCGGAGTTGTGCCGCGCTCCCTGCTGCGCGAGGAGTCACCGGGGCGCGTTCGGGCTTGCCGCTGGAGGCGCGGGGCCCGCAGGGGCGAGCGCGCGGAGCAGCTCCTGCATTCTCGCGCGGCCTGCGCCGTCGATGCGCGGCAGGCGGCGCGGCCCGGCCGCGCCGCGGCCGTGCCCGACGCCGCGCGGGCGGTGGGCCGCGCGGCTCTGCCCGCGGCCTGCGTCCTCGCCTTCCTCGGGGCGCCCCCGCCTCGCTGGCAGCGGGCGGGGCCGGAGGCGCGGGGCCCGGCCCGCGGGCCCGTGGGCTCCGCCGCGCGGGGCGCTGTGGGCGAGCACGCCCCGCCCCCCCGCGCGGGTGCAGGGGCCGGCGCCGAGGGGTCGGCCGAGCAGGGGCATCCCTCAGTCGGGGGAGCGTAAGACCCGGGTTTGCCGGGACTCGGGTTCGCCATCGTTTTTTGACGACCGCGACTCGGATTTTGACGAGGAGGAGTTTCGTGGGATGTCTGCAGCGGGAGGCCTCGTCAAAATGCAGGCTCGGCCTCGTCATTTTTTTGACGACCTCGTCGGGGATTTCCGAGTCCCCCGTACCCGGGTCTTACGTCTCCCCGACTCAGCAGAGCCGCGCACGTGCACTGAAGTCGGGCCTGTCCCTCTACAGGAGGAGAATTCAAAAATGGTAAAAAGAAAATCGTTTGGGGACGATTTTTTTTGTACTTTGCCCATTCAGGGTGCATTGTTTGGCGTATGTTTTATGTTTCGCCCAAAATCCCCCTGCAGGGGGACATGCCCGACCTAAACGTACACCCAGCCATGCTCGCGTCGTGAGGATGATCCTGGCGAAGAACCCAACAATATGCAGTTGTGAGTGTCGCGTTGTGGGCAGTGCTGTCGGTGAGGCTCCCTGAGGGACACGAGGTGTGAGAAGGGTGTGCCGACATGGGCGCGGGGACGCATAAGGAACCTGCACTGGGGCCGTCGGTGGAGCTCCATGTGGAGCCACGGAACGTGTGAGGGGTGTGCCGAAACGGACGCGGGGAAAACATGTGAACGGTCTTTCTGGGCTTTGGTAGATCTCCCTGTGTGGCCACGAAACGTGTGAGGATTGTGCCGACACGGGCGTGACAACCGCATGCGAACGGTGCCATTGAGCCCTTCGGTGGAGCCTATAGGGGCATGAAACGAGCCAGGGTTTGTCGAAACGGGCGTGACGCCCACATGCGAACGGTGCCATTGGGCCTTCGGTGGAGGCCCTGTGGGGTCACGAAACGTGTGAGGGGTGTCTCGAAACGGGCACAACGCCCACATGCGCACGGTGCCAGTGGGGCCGTCGGAAGAGCTCCCTGTGGGGCCCCGAAACATACGAGGAATGTGCCGAAACGGGCGCGACGCCCACATGCGAACGGTGCCTTCGGGGGAACTCGTTATGGGGCCACGACACGTGTGAGGATTGTGCCAAAGCGGGCGTGACGCCGTCATGCGAACAGTGCCATTGGGGCTTTCGGTGGAGCTTTCTATGAGGCCACGAAACGTGCGCGGAGTGTGCCGAAACGGGCGTGACGCCCACATGTGAACGGTGCCCCTGGGGTCTTCGGTTGAACTTCCTATAGGGCCACGGAACGTGTGAAGAGTGTACCGAAACGGGTGCGACGCCCGCATGCGAACGGTGCCTCTGGGTCTTCCAGTGGACCCCCTTTATGGAGCCACGAAAGATGCGAGGGCTGTGCCGAAACGGGCGCGACGCCCACATGCGAACGGTGCAAGCGGGGCCTTCGGTAGAGCTCCTTGTGGAGCCACGGAACGTGTGACGTGTGTCCCAAAAAGGGGGACCCGAAGCCTACATGCACCTGGTGCCACTGGGGCATCCGGTGGAGCTCCTTCTGGGGCCACACTACGTGTGGAGACTGTGTGGAGAAGGACATGCGGAGGACAGAGGCTGGGACGGGAGGAGGGAGGAGAGCAGTGGGAGAAAGGGAGACGCGGGGCGCCGTCTCTTCAAAACGAGGACGCAGCACCACAGGACGGTTTGGAAAAACACGGCGGGAGGTTTTCGGCCTCTGGGGGCCCTCGCCTGGCCCTGGGGAACTGGTCAAAATTTCGGTGGCCCGCGCATGGGAGAGATAATGCGTCCAGCTGGCCGTTCCGTCTGCCTGCAGTCACGATGCGAGTTTGCGAGCCTGGGCATGGCCCCCAGCGGCCCTTGACATCAGCGCACCAGAAGTCACCCTTGCCTAGCGTCACTCTGACGTGTAGCCGATGGCAATCAGCAAGACCTGGCAATCAGCAAGGCTCCTGCATCCGACGTTGGTTGACGCTGGGCCTGGCCCAGAATGGACCGCGCCGCATTGAGTTTGTTTTCGTCAGATCGCCTTGCATGTGCCATCGCGCCACACTTGCACTTGCTATCTCATGGATGCCGCCTCTGTTGCGTCCTGGCGGCGGGAACGTTGTCACCGTTCACTGAAGAGCAGGTGCTGGAGAACGCCATGCGGGTTAGGAGGGCACGGGTGTCCACGGTCCCCCTCATGTCCCAATCCTCGCCAAGAAACGTTGCGATACCGATACATCTGTATGTGTGGCCTTTTTTAATCCGGCCTTCTTCGGCCCCTCCATATCGCCATCCTCCCCTTGCTCGTTTTATTCATCTGTCCCTCATCCTCCTACTCCTCCTCCTCCTCCTCCTCCTCCTCCTCCTCCTCCTCCTCCTCCTCCTCCTCCTCCTCCTCCTCCTCCTCCTCCTACTCCTCCGTCTCCTTTTCGCAATGTTATCCCTACCAGCTCATTACTTCCTCCTTTATCGCTGTACTCCCCTCTCCGATCATGTTGCACATCACCTCCCTCTTACACTCCTCCCCGCGGCGCAGGACGGAAGTAGAGAGGAACGAGGAGGCACGAGGGATCAGGGACGAGGGAGAAGGGAAGGAGAGGGAGGAACGAGGAGGAGGACGACGGCGACGAATAGACCGTATGGGGAGGGAGGTGGAATGAGAGGCAGGAGGAGGAGGAGGAGGAGGAGGAGGACCAGTGTAAACCCAAGACTCATCAACGATGCGGGAATAAACCGTCCCTCCGAGCTCCCTCTTCACAGGCTCCCACAAGGATTCATTTTTACTGAGAGACGTGCCCCGTTGGGAGACAACTATTTCGGGGCCCCGAAGCTTGCCAAAACACCGTTCTCGGGACTCCAATGCCACGAATCTCGGGGTGACGATCCTGAGTTGTGCCAGAACAACATTCCTGGGACTTCAATGCCACGAATCAACATAACTGTTGCGTCTTGACAATCCTGAATGGTTCCACAACACCGTTTCTGTTACGCTGACCATGTGCACCCGTGAAGCCGTTGCACGTGAATACAACGAATGCGCGCGGCGCCAAGGCGAGAGCCACAGATTGAAAAGAAACCGCCCGCGATCCGCGAAACTGCTGCAACTGTTTAAGACGAGTGCGCGCGGCAGTAAGGCGAGAGTCACATGTTCAAAATGACCCGCCCTCAATCCGCGAAACTCTTGCAACTGCTTAAGACGCGTGCGCGCAGCGGTAAGGCGAGAGCCACATGTTCAAAACGACCCGCTCTCAGTCCGTGAAACTCTTGCAACTGTTTAAGACGAGTGCGCGTGGCGATAAGGTGAGAGCCAAATGATCTCAACGACCCGCCCTCAATCCGTGAAACTCTTGCCATTGTGTTAACGGATCTACGTGGCGCCAAAGCGAGGGCCACATGTTCAAAACGACCCGCCCTCAGTCCGTGAAACTCTATTCATTTTTGAACGAATGTGCGCGGCGCCAAGGCGAGAGCCACATGTTCAAGATGACCCGCCCTCAATCTGTGAATGTGTTACCTATGTGTAAGCTTCAGGATCATCAACGGTGAGGAAGTTTCAGTGGCGACAGGGAGGAGCTATCAATACAGACAAGGAGTGAAGAAGGAAGAGGAGAGATGGGGGCGGGGACAGAGTTGGACAGGAGGAGCCAGGTCGAAGCGTACAGGGAAGGAAAAAAACAGAAATCTTTGAGCCCCTGACGCTGGGGGTGGCGGCCCGCTGACAGGGGATGACGACCATCGAGTTCTGCGAGAAGACGTCCAAGGGCCACTCGGGGAGCAGAGGGAAGGCTACTTTTCGCTAGCGGTGGCGGACACGGTCCGGGCACTCAAGCGACGTTGGGACGGAGCACGGCGGATTGCGCCAGATGCAAGCATCAGCAGGGGGAGAGGAGGAGGTAAACAAAGTGGAGTTTACAGCCACCGTGTGTCGGCGTCACCCCAACATACTTATACTATATGTGCGTCGCTCCCCCCCAGGGGCGACGCGCTGACCGAGAAATCTTATAGTATATGCGTCATGGCGGGCGCTTTCTGGCCACACCGCTCGGGAAACTAGATGCTGCAAGCTGGGTATACTAGATGTTCGGGTCGGACGCGCACCTCCAAGGAGGACATATAAGTATTAGCATGTTCCTGTGCGTCCCCGTGTTGCCAGAGGGAATGCCGGATGGTGGACGAGTGGGCCTCTCTGGCCACGGCGAGCTTCGGCCACAGACGGGCTCTCCCGGACTCAGATCTGCGAGGCGGCCCGAGAGCCAGAGCCCCTCCTGAGCCCAAAGTGGTCCTTATCTCAGCGCCTTGACTGCACATCAGTTACAACAGACAATAATACACATGGTTCATTTCTAATTCTTCGGAAAGTCTTTGATTGTTTGGGGGGGGCGAGATCCTTTCAATTCTAACTGTTCTATCCTGGGCCTCTTCCTGGCCACTAGGGGCGGGAACAATTAGAAACGAGCACACTTAGAACTGAGCACGATTAGAAATGAACGACGCGTATTCCATCGCAGCATATTACGCTCGTTGGAAATACCTTACTGCACAATCCGGGGACCGTCTTCAGACAGCCGCCTTGCTGGAAGATGTGCCCAGTTTCCTGAGTATATGATGTCAGTCCTTTTCACCCTCCTGAACATAATATGACCTCATTCCTCCGTCCTCCAATTCCCTGTTTTAGACCTTCGCGTAACCCCACAAGCCCATCCAGAAACGATGCCCAGACCAGTTGCCATGATCAGGGAGGTGGTGAAGCATGCAGTGTAATAAAGGGCTGGGTGAGACGTCGTACCCCAAGAGGGGAAGGATGGATGATGAATCGGAGGTGCAGGAGGAGGAGGAGGAGGAGGAGGAGGAGGAGGAGGAGGAGGAGGGAGAGGAAAAGGAGGAGGAGGAGGAGGAGGAGGAGGAGGAGGAGGGAGGAGGAGGGAGGAGGAATAGGCGGAAGAGGAGGAGGAGGAGGAGGAGGAGGAGGGCGAGCAGTAAGGCCAGAAGCTTCTTGGATGCTTCTCGGAGTCTCTTCGGATTTCTTCCGAAAGCGTCTTGGAGTCTTCTTGGGGTGTCATAGGGGGTCTCTTGGCAGTCCCTGGTGCCTCTGGGGGCGTCTTGTGTGCCTCTGGGGAGCCTCAGGGGGGCTCGTGGGAGTCTCTTGGGAGCCTCTTGGGTGCAAGTTGGGGGCCTCTTGGGGGCATCTTGGGGGCCTCCTGGGGCCTCCTGGGCACCTCTTGGGACCGTCTTGGGGCACCCTAGGGAGCCTCGGGGGCCATCTTGGGGCCATCTTGGAGGAGATCGATCAAATGAGGGGGGCCCCTTAATTAGAGCCCCCACCTGAGGGCCAACATGTCGCCAAAAAACAATGATTGTAACCTTCTCGCCGAGGTCTCTTGGGGCGTCTTGGGTGCCTCTGGGAAGCCTCTTGGCGCATCTTGGGAGTCTCTTGGCGGGCCTTGTGCGGGCACGTTGGGGGCCTCTTGCGGGCCTCTCGGGGCCTCCTGGGCACCTCTTGGGGCCGTCTTCGGGCACCTTGGAGAGCCTCGAAGGCCATCTTGTAGAAAAATGGATCAAAGGAGGGGCCGCACAGTGGGCCCCCTCCCCAGGAGGCCAAAAAGGCCAGGCTGGTGAGATCATGTCGTCTCATCCCCCACCCCCCATCAAGTCCAGCTCTCCCTCCTCGCTCCTGTCATTTGTGACGTCCTCTGCCTTCCTCCCTCCTCATGTCCACCCTCCTCCTTCTCTCCTCCTCCTCCCCTTTCTCCTCCTGCTCCTCCTCCTTCCCTTCATCCTCATCCGCCTTCCGCCCTCCCCTCTCCGCCGCAGCATGCCGTTGCGCTGGCGCCGAGGGCTCGCCCCATGCACCCTGATCGCTCCGCGATGGCGTCGCCTTGCTCCCTCTACAGCCCGACGGCGTCCTCGCCCACTTCTGGCTGCGCCCTCGTGCTGGCCGGCCCCACTGCGGGACTGGGACCTCGTGGCCCTCGCTGGCTCCTCCTACGCTTCCTCTTCGGCAGCCCAGGCACGTCCTCCGGCGGCCCGCCGCGAGACTGGGACTGCATGGCCTTTGTTGGCCTCCTCCTCTGCAGCCTCCTCCCCCGCAGCCCAGGCACCTCCGGCGAGAGCTGGGGCACGCGGCCCTCTGCGGGCGAAATCCGCAAGGGGGGTCCGCTCTCGGGGCGCGCGCGGTGGCTGGGAGGGCGGCCGCTGCGCCCCGCCCTTTTTTCGCTCCCCCGATGGGCCCAGGCACGGCCAGGGCGTTCGTTTGGGAATGTGCCCAGGAGGCGCCCCGAGGGGTTCCTCCTCCGAGGAGGGCGGCGGTGACCTCCACGGCCGCTCCACTACTGGAGTTCCACCGGTTTCCAGACCCTGGATGCTTTATCCAGTGGTTACTTAGCCAGTGCCCTCACCGCAGTCGCCCAGCGCCCTTGAGCCGCTTGACCGGCCCACGCGCTCGCCGAGCCTGTGGACAAAAAAGATGTGATGGGTGGGGGCGGGGGAATATTCATATGGGTCGTCATCGTCGTCGTCGCCGCTGTCGTCGGTAGAGACGGGGGGCGGGGGGCGGCGATCGCCCCCCGTTGCGGTTGCCCCTTCCTTGGGCCCCTGCGCAGCGTGGGCCCCTGCGCAGCGTGGGCTCCTATAGGTGAGCCTTGCGCTCCTCCTTGCGTCGCTGCGGTCGCGGCCGCGACGCCAAAACATGTGCGTGTTGGGGGCGGGGGGGGGCTACGGTCAGGAACTGTTGCCTGGCGCGTCGCGATGTCGGTTCTGGCCCACCAAGCTTCGGCGCGACACGCCCACCGCGTCCCAGCTCCCGAGCATCAACGTCCCGAGCCTTTTCTGAAGCCTCCCGCCCCGCTGAGCGGAGCGACGCGCTGTCCGCCTACGAGGCATGGCGAGACACGCTAACCAAACGTTCTTGTTCGTAAGTTTCGACGAGAGTGGCACGTCAGCCGTTCAGCCGTTCGAGAGTTTCGACGGGAGTGGCAAGTTCTTGTTCGTAAGTTTCGTCCTTCATCATCTGAGTTTCGGCGCTCCGCCGCCCCCGCCGCGGCCGCGCGCGAGTCCGCCTACGCACTTCATGATTCAAGCCACGGCTTGCACGCCATGCCCGAATGGGCACGGTCAGGTTTCCCAGAGGAGCGCGCACGTTTCTGGCGTTCGATGCGTTGCCTTTCGTTTCCTCCTCCTCCTCTTCTTCTTCCTCCTCCTCCGCATCTCCCTGCTGCCCTGTTCCGCTCCCCTCTCTTCTGGTCCCCCCCTCTTTCTCTTGTTCCTCATATCCCATCTCCCACTTCTTCCTCAACTCCCCTTCCCCGATGTGTTCCTCATCTCATGCCCTCCCCCCTCTTTCCTCATCCCCATTTCCCCTTGCCCTCTCCCGTCTCCCCCTCCCTTCCCTCCCCATCCGCTGCACACCCACTCTACTACTCTTCACCTCATTATCCTCATCACAATCAGAGTCATCATCATCATCATCATCATCATCATCATCATCATCATCATCATCATCATCCTCATCCTCATCCTCATCCTCATCCTCATCATCATCATCAGCATCAGAATCAGCATCAGCATCATCATCATCATCATCATCATCATCAGCATCAGCATCATCATCGTCATCATCATCATCAACAACATCATCATCATTATCATCATCAGCATCATCAGCATCATCATCAGCATCCGCATCATCGTCATCATCATCACAATCATCATTATCATATCGTCATCATCAGCATCACCATCATCATCACCATCAGCATCACCGGCATCATCACCATTAACAACAGCATATTATTGTTCGTCCGCATCACAATCATCATCAGCATCAGCATCACCATCGCCATCATCAGCATCAGCATGATCATCAACATCAGCATCATAACCAACATCAGCGGCATCAGCAGCATCATTGGCATCAGCATCGTCATCATCATCATCATCATCCTCATCATCATCATCATCATCATCATCATCATCATCATCATCATCATCATCATCATCATCATCATCATCAACAGCAGCATCTGTAACATCAGCATCATATCAATCATCATCAGCAGCAACATCATCACCATCATGATCAGCGGCAGCATCATCTTTCCTTTCGTATTATCCCCCTCGCTGCGCTGCTGCGGTCTCTGCGGCTTCTCGGCCCCAGCGTGCTGGCGCGCGGCACCGCGTCCGTTCGCGGCCGCCGCGGCGCGCACCAGGGGGTGATATCCGGCGACCGCCGCACAGGTAGTCCTGGCCCTCTACACGGTCGCCGCCTTGTTCAAGAACGGCCCGCGCGGATTCACTTCGGACGGGGTGCGCGTTTTAGCCCCGGCCGTCTTGAGCCTGCGCTGGGCACAACCAAACGCTTTCAGCGGGCGGTCGGTTTGGGCGGGGTTTTCGGTCCTCCGCTGCAGGTGATCGCTGCCGCCACCTGGCGGCGGTCACCTGGGAGCCTGGCTCTGTGAGCCGCGACTTTTTGGGCTCCGCCTGCCGCCTTTCGCTCCCTGCGGGCTGGGGGTGTCGCCTCCGCCACGCTTTACCTGCAGGCTGGCTTGCCCGTTTTGCTGGGCGTTGCCGCACGCTTCAGCGCTTTTGTGGCCTTCCAGCAGAGGCTGGTCGCTCGCTCGGGCGGCCGTAGCTTCTGGGTATCATATTGTGGGTTGGTGACCGATGGCGCCTGCCTCTTTCGCTGCTGCAAAGCTCTCCATCCCCTCTCCTGGCTCCTTCCTCCTGGACCCCGGGGCGGCGAAAGTTTGCTGTCGAGGAAGAGAATGAATGGCGAGGGCGAGGGCGAGGAGCTTACACGCCATGTTTCGCGGCACAGTGCCAGCTCGCCCCTCGGACTCAGAATGCCTTGCGAAGACACGGCCTGACTGCAGCGACGCATCGCCCGCGACCCCCCGTCGAGCATGCCTCACGCGCAGCATCCGCCGCCCGCCACTAGCTCTCGGAGACAGCCCGCCGCCAGCCGCCCTGGAGACGACACGCTGCCGCGTGCGCAGTGGATAAAGAGACAACTGGCGCGAAGACATCTGCGTCCGGGATGGAGGAGTCGGAGTTTGTGGATCGTCTTGTTTCCGGTCCCGCTCCGCCCCCTCCCCACTCGGCGCTGCTTCGCCCTGGCTCAACTGCCCTGCTAGTTCGGCGGCCTCCGACGACGAGTTGTTTCGCGCGGGGCCCCCCCCGCCTGCTCTACTGGCGGACGTTGCGGGTCCCAGCGGCGTTGGGTTGGGTGGCACGCGTTGCTCCAGCGATGCTGCTACGGCCCTACAGGGAGAAGTTTGTACCGCTCTCTCAACTGCCTTCGTGCTCGCAAGCTTGGCACCCCGCCTCCGAGCAGTCCAAGGGTCGGTCCGCCCTCGCGCGCCGGTTTCTGGCCCCCTCCAGGGTTGGAGCCGCATTCACAGGAGGCGGCCTTTCTTGCCGACCCCTCAGCGGGGATGTGCTGTTCCAGCGAGGCTGTTCCAGCTGCGCAAGCGCACTTGCGCGCATCGCCGGGGGAAACGGAAGAGGGGCCGCTCCTGTCGTCGGTAGCGGGGGGGGGTCGCTATCACGCACTGTCTGTGGTTGTACATCTTCTCGGTCGCAGGCGTCGGGGGCCCCCAGGTGAGGGGGTGGTCGTTCGGGCGGGCCGCTGGGGTGCGTTCCAGGCTTGCGAGGCCAAGGGGGGCCTGGCCTCGGTGGCGCGGGGCGACGACCTCGCAAGCGAAAGACGACTCGAGGGCTGGGCGTGATCGCGCTCGGGCGCAGCGAAAGCGGATGGGACGCGTTCGCGTGCCCGTGGGCCGCGCGCGCGAGGCCGCAGCGCGGGGCGACTGCGGGTCGCCGCCACCGCCGTTCGACCCTTGCGCGGCCCCTGCTGCAGCAGGGCTCGCGCTGCCCACCAGTGGTAATCTGCCGGGGGCCGCGCTCCCGGGGCCCGCGCCCCCCCCGCGTTTGCGGGGCCCCTTCCGCCCCCAAGGGGCGTTTCTGCGAGCGGCGCTGCTCTCGCGAGCCCTCGCGAGAGGATCGCCCCGCGACTCTGCCGCCCTCGCCGAGCTACGACGCGGCGATTGTCGCGCTGCCTGCCGCGGTCGCTCGGGGCGCGCGGGGGCCCCCCCGTGCCCTTGCCAGCTTCAGCTCTGGCGATTGCTGATGCCACCTGGATCGCCTCTGCCGCGCGCGCGGCGGGGACCCCTGCAAGCGGCGCGGCTCGCTCGAGCCATCGCGACCTGCCGCGGTCGCTCGGGGCGCGCGGGGGACAGCCTGCGCCCCCGCCTGACTCGACCCCGGCGATGACGGAGGCTACCTTCAGAGCTTTCGTTTCGCGCGGCGTGGCTCGTTCGAGACATCGCGACCTGCCGCGGTCGCTCGGGGCGCGCGGGGGCCCCCCCGCGTCTCCGCCTGACTCGGCATCGGCGATGGCGGAGGCTACCCTTGGAGCCTCGGCCGCAAGCGCAGGGGCTCCGGCGAGCGGCGCGGTGCGGTCGCGCCCTCGGGGCCCGCCGCGGTCGCCCCGGGCAGGCGGGGACACGAGCCAGGGGAGGAGGAGGAGGAGGAGGAGGAGGAGGAGGAGGAGGAGGAGGAGGAGGAGGAGCCATCGCAACATGCCCCGACCGCTCGGGGCACGCGGGGATGTCCCCGCACCCCCGTGCGTTCTCGGTTCGGCGCTGGCTGGCGCCACCGCCAACAGGGCTACCGCGCCCGCGGCCAGCCCAGCGCCACCAGCAACGGCTCTCGCCGGCCCACCCCGCGCCCGTTCCCTCCCAAGCCGCGCGGTTCCAGACGCGCGCGCGGCGGGGGAGCCGCCTCCAGCTGCGCATGCTCAGGCGGAACGCGGAACCCCCTGGGGCGCGGCACCATCTGCCCCAGCCGTCGGGCACGTCGGCGCGGGCCCCCGCGCCTCCAGCGCGAGTCCAGACATGGGCCGCGCCGCTTGCCCCGGCGCCGGTCGCCCCCTGTCCTAAGCGAGCCCTGGGCGCCCTTCCGAAGAGGGCGGGGGCCGCGGCTCCAGCGCCGCCGCTGGGCCTCGACACCGGAGAGGGCCTCGATCCTCTCCTGGCCCTCAGCCGCGAAGGTCGAGGGGGCCGCGGCCACAGCCTTCGCTCGCGCGCCAGTCGCACGGAAGGGCCGCGGGACGGCGACAGTCCGCAAGTCGCGCAGCGAGTCGGCGTCAGCCCGTGCCCTCGAGGCCGAGGCCGACCTGGGCCACCTGCGAGGGCGCTTCGCCCCGCGCGCGCCCAACGCGCCCGCGGAGAGCGACTCCGCCGCCGCCGAGGGCCAGCTCTCGGTTCGCCACTCCGAAGGGCCGCGGGCCGCGGCGACCTGCGGCAGAGAGGAGCTGGCGGCCCAGCTCGCCGCCGAGGCCCCGGCGACGTCCAGCCTGGCCCCTGTTCCGCCTGTTCGGCCAGAGGCCGCGCTGCCCCGCGCGCCCCGCAGGCTTCCGCTCAGGCAAACTCCCGCGCGAGCGGGCAGCGGCGGCGAACGGCAGCCCGCATCGGGCGCTCACGCGCAAGGAGCGGCGGGCCGCACGCGTCCGCCAGGGCCCCCAGGATTCGGCGGAAGTCCAGGAGTCGCCGGAGCCCAGCTCGAGCGGCGCGCGGCGCGGGGCCGCGCGTCGATGTGAGCGCCGCGCCCTGGGCCCCGCGCCCAGGGTCTCCGGCCGCGCGGCGCCCCCCGCCCGGCGCTCCGGCAGCCGCGCGGGCCCCCGGGGCGCCGACGGCAATGCTCCCGCGCATCGGCGGCGCCCTGGCGCAGTCGGCAACCGAGGCGCACTGCTGCGCCGCCGCTGGCGGGGCAAACGGCCGCCGCGCGGGAGACAGGCCCATCTTCGCGCGAACCACCGATCCCACAGCGGCTCTCGCCGAAGTCCTAGGCGCGAGCCAGCCCGCTCACCCTCGTCGCGGGTCGCTGCGCCCCTTGACGAAGGTCGCGGGCCCGCGTCTGCCCGGCGCCCCGATGTCGAAAGGGCGCTCTCACTCCTGGGATTCAGCCGACGGCGCGGAGGTCGTGGACGGCCCCCCGCCCCGCGCACCCAGGTCGCTTCTGCCGCCGTCGGTTGGCGCGCCCCTTTCCAGCGATGTTGTCACGGCCCCGCGGGGAGAGAGTCGCGCGGCCGACGGGGCTGCCAGCGCGCCCCCTCGGCGGAGGAGGCCGCGCCAGCCACTCCCAAAACAAGCGCGCCCGTCTCGGCGAGAGCGCGCGCCCCCACTGCGCGTTCGGCGGGATCGGCGCTCGCGGACGTCTCCGCCCCAGCCCCGCGCGCCTCTGCGACTTATCCCTGCCGAGCGACCGCCTGGACGCGCCCGGCGCCGCCGCCCCCTCCATCGCCACGCCTGGAACACGCCGGACTTCTCCGGCCCAGCACGCGCACTGTTCGGACAGATCTTTTGTTCGGATTTGAGACGAGGCTCTGTCCTTCGAGCCCCGCCGACCCGCTTGCCCCGCCCAGGCATCGCGGCCCCTGTACTCGGCGGAAACATCTGCCGAAGGCCTCGGGCGCGCCTGGCGCCCAGCGCTTTGCCGGCGGCGCCTTGACAACCGCTTGCCCGCGCGGCTCGAGCGCCGCCGCCCCCGTCGCCCCCGGCCCCCCCCCGAGGCGGCGCGTGCCCAGACAGCTCTGTCCTTGCCACTGCCAACGGCCGCCTGGTCGCTACTGATTTGCACGCGAACCCCTTTCCAGCGGTTCATGCCCTTAGCTGCCGCCCACCCAGGCCTCGTCACTTCGCGATGCATGTGGGCCTGGATCGGCCAGTTCGCCCTACGGGGCGACCAGGCGTTGACCTCGTCTGCCCGAGCAATGCCGCGCAGTTCGCGCGCGCGTCGGCCCCCGGCGCTTGCGGGGCTGCCGCGCGCCCGCACGGTGACCGCTCTCTCGCACTTGGTTGGGAGAATGCCTGTCTTATTATCCCCCACCGCTGCGCCCATGCGTTCTCCGCAGTTTCTCGGCCGCCCCTCCATCCCTCCCTTCTTCTACGGCCTGCGGCGCGGCTAGTTCGTCCTCTCGGGCGACCTGGCGTTGACCTTGTCCGCCTGAGCGGCGCCGCTCGGTTTGCGCGCGCGCGTCGGCCCCCGGCCCTCGCGGGGGCGCCAAGCGCCCGCGCGGAGACAGCTCTCCCGCGCGCAATCGGGAGAATCATCATCATCAGCAGCAGCATCATCATCACCGTCATCATCACCACCACCATGGTCATCACATCACCATCACCGTCGTCATCGTCATCGCCACCTTCATTAGCAGCATCAGCTTCGCCGTCATCATTGTCATCGTCGTCATCATCATCATCATCATCATCATCATCATCATCATCATCATCATCATCATCATCATCATCATCATCATCATCATCATCAGCATCATCATCCGTAGCCATTTTGGCTCAAGCCGTCTTTGCCAGTATTTCTGGGGGTCTCTGGCGGCGAACCTGCCAGGACGCGGACGCCGCAGCGCGCCGTGACGCCCAGTGCCCTCAGGACCCCGCCCCCCGCCCAGCAGATGGCGCCTTGCTCCGCCGACGAGGCGCAGATGATGCTGCCCTCTGACTCGCGGGGCCGCGGCGCGGACGGGGCCGGCCAGGCGCCGCAGGGCGCAGGCGCGGAGGCCTCCCGCGAGGCGCCCCCGCCGCCCAAGTGCCGGCGCACGTTGTTCCTGCTGGCGGCCGCCGCCGCACTGGCGGCGCTCGCCGCCGCCGGCGCTCGCGCGGGCGCAGGCGGGCCTGCCGGCCCCGGCGGGCGGAGCGAGCGCCTGGCGGTCATCTCCGAGGGCGAGGTGGCAGCGGAGGGCGCGGACCACCGACGGGGTGCCAAGGCCAAGTCCCGGGTGCCCGGGCACGAGCGCGCGGGTGCCACGGTCAGCTCCGAGGTCGGGGGAGAAAAAGATACGGATACGTGTCGTCCCCCTTCGTTTTAGGCCTGTCCTGGCCCTCCTGGGGAATCCTCGTTGTCACCGCTGGATTCGCCTCGAAATTCTGGTCAGAACGCACCCCGAGAGAGGTCCGGGGACAACACGTATCCGTATCTTTTTGCCCCCCAACGAGGGTGAGGCGGGGGCGACGAGCGGGGGTCGTGGCCACGCCGCCAAAGCCAAGGCCGAGGTGCCCGGGCACGGGGGCGCAGGTGCACCCGCGCCCCCAGCCCGGGCCGCGGAGGCCCCCCCACCGAAGCCCTCCAAGACCGAGGCGAAGGGCGGGGACCAAGGCCAGGGCGCCAAGGCCGACGCCAGCGTGCCAGGGCCGGGTCACGAGCGCGCGGGTGCCAAGGCCTTGGCCGCGGCCGCCCCCCCACCGACGAAGCCCACCGGGGCGGGCGCGGAGCGGCGGAAGCCCGCCGAGGCAAGGAAGGCAGAGCCGGCAGGCTGCCTCCGCTTCCCTGGCGTGCGGCTGGCCGACGGCAAGGGTGGCGCCTTCGCCGAGGTGTCCGGCGGCAAGGGCAAGGGCGCGCTCGACGCGGACGCCTGCGAGACGGCGTGCCAGTCGACCACGAAGTGCGAGCAGGCCATTTTCTCCGCCAGCGCCAACACCTGCTACATGTTCCAGGAGGTTTCGCGGAAGCTCGGCGACGGCGTCTTCGAGGCCGAGGAGCCGGGCTCCTCGGATTATCACGAGTCCATGTATTGCGGGGCCAACGCCACTGCGGCGCAGGAGGTGCAACAGAGCATCAACTCTGCCCTCCAGGAGGGGAAGCGCTCGGCGGGCTTCCTGCTGAAGCACGGCCTGGAGAGGTGGGAGAACGACTCCGTAGAGAAGCAGGAGGCAATCAGGGTTGTGCAGCAGAACTGGGACGAGGCCGAGCGGAGGGCCAGCGAGACCCTGGCGAACCTGGGTGTCTACGACAAGGTGCCCCTGATCCACGGGGAGGAAACGATCAGCGGATACGCCGGTTGGCTCTCGACCGGCAATGCCGGCGGGGGCCCCTTGGCCATGAATGATGGGCCACAGGGCTACAACGCCTATCGGAAGAACCTGGCGGGCACCGCGACGCAGCTCCCGGCCCTGCTGTGCCTGGCTGCCACCTTCGATCCCGAGCAGGCGCGCAGGTACGCGAAGACCGTGGCCTCAGAGTTCGCCATCAAGGGGTCCAACGTGCTCCTTGGGCCAGATGTGGAGGTGATCCGGGCCCCGCTCAGTGGCCGCTCCTTCGAGACGCTGAGCGGGGAGGACCCCTTCCTGGGTAGCGCCCTGGTCGGGCCGTTTGTGCGCGAGGTGCAGGACAGAGGCATAATTGCGACCGTCAAGCATTGGTTGGACAACAACCAGGAGGTGTTCCGTCAGTCCATGAACGTGGAGGTCGACGACCGCGCCCAGCACGAGATCTACATGCCCGTCTTCAAGGCCGCATTCGAGGCGGGAGCTGGCGCGGTCATGTGCGCGTATAATAAGGTGCGCGGAGACCACGCGTGCGAGAGCAACTACCTGCTGACGCAGCTTCTCCGGGAGGAGGTCGGTTTCCGCGGCTACGTCGTGAGCGACTGGGGTGCTGTCCACGACGGCATTAAGGCCGCCAACGCCGGCCTCGACGTGGAGATGCCCAACGGCAAGTACTTCTCGGGCCTCGACATAGAGGGGCAGGCGGACCGCGTGCACCAGATGGCCCAGCACGTGCTTGCCTCCATGTACGCCTCCGGGCAGATGGACGGCAAGTTCACCGGCGCCGGCGAGAAGGGCAAGGTGTGGGCGGTCTCCACCAACGGCTGGCACAAGGAGGTGGCAAAGGAGGTAAATGTCGCGGGCACTGTGGTCTTGAAGAACAAGGACGGCCTCCTCCCGCTCGACGTGACGGGCAAGACCATCGCCATGGTGGGTAAGTATTGCGACCAGGCCATCGAGCCCGCCTACGGCCAGGGAAGCGTCTTCGCAGGCGGGGGCAGCGGGTATGTGGAGACCACTGGGACGGTGACCCCCTTCGAGGGCCTCCAGGAGATCGCGGGCAACGCCAGCACTGGCGCGGCGAAGATCTGGGTGGCCGCCAAGCCAGAGGACGCGAAGGGCGCCGACGTGGCCGTGGTTTGCGTAGCGGCCCACGCCGAGGAGGGTTGGGACCGCGCGGATGCCGAGATGCCCGAGGCGTGGAACCTGCTGGCGCCCCTGAGGAAGAAGTTCCCGGCGATGCCCGTCGTCGTGCTAGCTGTCACGCCGGGCCCGGTCACGACGGACTGGGACGACCTCGCCGACGCCGTCGTGATGATGTTCATGCCCGGCGAGCAGGTCGGCCCCGCCTTCGCGGACATCCTCACTGGCAGGCAGGAGCCCACCGGGCGCCTCCCCGTCAGCCTGCCCGCGAAGAAGGAGAGCCGCTTCTCCTCGAAGCAGTACCCGGGCGAGTGCGAAGGTCCCAACGTCTCGAAGTGGTGCGAGTGGATGACCGCGTCCTTCACCGAGAGCGTTTTGATCGGGTACCGCTGGAACGACGCCATGGAGGAACCCGCCGCGTACCCCTTTGGCTTCGGCCTGACCTACACCGACTTCGAGGTCAGGAACGTCGGGGCAGGCTGCAAAGACGAGAAGGCCATCGTTGCCGCCACAGTCGCCAACGTGGGCGGCCAGGACGGCACGGCAGTGCTGCAAGTGTACGTCGGCTTCCCCAGCCTGAGCCCCGTGATCCGCCAGCTGAGGGCCTTCAGGAAGGTGAAGGTCCCGTACGGCGGCACCGTCGACATCGAGTTCTTTCTTGGGCGAGAGGACTGGAGCTACTACGACTTGGATCAGAAGAATTGGGTGTCGGCGGCGTCCAAGAAAGAAAACATCACCATAAGTTTGGGGACCTCTTCCCGCGACCTGCACTGGACCGGCGATGTGTCCTGCCATTGAGCTGGGCGGGATGTTCGCGGCGTTTGTCAGGCTCCCATTTCCCTGCACGCTCTGGAGGTGGTCCTCCCTCCCTCCTCCACCCCCCTCCCTTATGAATAACCCTGATTGCAACGTCGTTGATGTGTCTTCGGTTTACACTCGTCCTCCTCCTCCTCGTCCATTGTCCTGGCATGAGGCATAATTGGGGCGAGTTCTTTTGCCATAGCGTTATAGGCAAAGCTTTGATCACAGCCAAAGCTGTGATTACCAAGGCTTTAGCACGCCAGCGG